TATTTTGGGAATAACCAAAATTTCATTAATGAGGGACTTCAGATTCCCGCACAATCTGAAATCAGAACACCAAGTGAGCTGCCAGGATTACGTCCTGGACCATTAAATAGGAATCCGAAGATGAATAGAGAGACAAAGAATATCACTACCGTGTAAACAAATAGTTTTAGAGTAAGCATTACACAATCTCCAAGATTATTTTTTTAGGAAAAAAGAGAATAGATTTTCCATTTGTATATTTGTATTTTATACCGCATACCCTATTCGATTGGTTCATAGCGACAATCGAAGATGGTAAGATTGAGATCAAATAAAAGGGAAAAATCGAAAAGAAATAAAATAGGAGTATGCGACAGATAATGATCTAGCTTGATTCTATATTTTTATACTTTTGAATTAATGAAATGATTTCAGCTAAAAAATAGCTTTTAGATTATCTAAGAATCCGGTTTTATGTGTTTACCAAACACATTTTTTAGCTTCTGCTGAAAAAAAAAGTGATTTTGGCTTCCCAAAATCTCTACCAAACTAAGCCATTTAACAGTATACCTTCTCAAATCAAGGAAACTCAAGCAAAAGTTGGTAAAAGCTGTTATTTGAACTGCTTCAGATTCTGGCTCATACACAAATCTCTTCAGGACCGAAGACCAGTCAGCTCATATGAGATTCAAACCATTTGAAGATCTGGTCAGTATGCAAACTAGTCATTTCATGAAATGCAAAGGCAAGATTGAGTTCCTCCTGAACAGGATGGACCAAATGCTCATCAAGAAAAATAGTTTTATCCTCTCTGAGGGCCTCTTTCCAACGTGTTCTCCGACCGTCATTCCTCATATAACCATTTTCATCGACAAAGCCCTGGCGTCGGAGGAGTTCAAACAACTTGGCGGAAACAGACTGATCAAGCCCTGGTATTCTATCAGCTAAAAGACGTGGCGATAATGGGAACTCCATACATTCTATCTCAGCAACATCAACACCTTTGTTTCTTAAAAGTTCCATGAATTCGTCAATCTTTTGCCGCCTGTAAACATCTTTCGGCATATGCACAAAAAGGGTAGGTGGATAATTTTCTTTTACAGACATTAGATCAAACTTCCCTTCAGCAATCATAAGTGTAATGCTTGAAAACTTCACCTCTGTAGCAAGGACAGAGACAAAGTAGCCGCCAGACGAGGCCCCCATAGCCACAAGAGGAAGCTGCTCAAGCCCTTGCTTCTCAATCCACCATCTTATGATATCTTTAACAACTCTTATCTCCTCCCCAAATGACCAGCATCTCCCAGCACTCGATATGGTAAGAACAGCAAACTTTTGAGCAAGAGCGCAAAGCGCAATCAGCCTTTCTTCCGGCAAACCAACACAATTAGGACATTCAGGAGACCTATCCCAAAAATTAACAGCACGGCCATCACAACCGTGAGCCAGAAAGAGAACTGCTTTTGGCGAATCGGGTATCTGCCATATCACATCTGTACCATTTCGGAACCCTACAGTGGGGTGCATTTGCACCGATGACTCAAAGCTATTCCATTTTTGCCTTTGAAGTCCAACTCCAAGTGATGTATTGGCCGGTTTAGCATCGTTACAAAACAGGAATACTAAAAGGAAAAGAAACAAAGTAGCAAAAGTGACCGCAACTAGAACCCGGCGGTTTGACCGACTCCATGCCTTCGATCTGTTTCCGCGCTTCCACATTACTACAATCAAGATATAGATTTTTCAAACAAACTTTGTAAGCAAATGTAGCTACAAAGTAAATAAATGAATTAACTGTAATAAATTGGGTTTCACATAACGCTTCGCTACCGGCGAAGCTTCCAGCATTATAACATTTACGGCCGTTTAGGAAGTGTATTTGAACTATGATTTGGGTTTTGATTCAAATTCTTTGTGAGAGAATTATTGGTGGGATTTTTTTTTTTTTTTTTCAAATTCTTTGTGAGGGATGGTTTGGGTTTAAAAACAGTACCAAACAACCCCTACATTGAATCATGGAGAGTAAAGCTACCACCAGAAAAGACTCAAAATGGAAATTATTTCAGACCCAAATGGAACGAAAATTTAGCAGTAAACTGAAATCATTATTCATAAGTGAGTTTCAGTAGTTACAAGTGAGAATTTAGAATTTATGAGCCAAAGTTTCTGAACTTTTTATAGATTATAATCACTGTCTTTAAACCAAATTTTTCCTTAAAAAGGAAACAGATTTTTACAATTTTTTTTTCTCGAATTGTTTAAAACAAATCGTTGATGGAAATTTGCAACCCAAAGAGAAACAGAAAACGATCTGATGAAGTAATTCTATAGATTCAAAAAGAAAAAAATCTTTGATCGTTTAAATAAAAAAACAAAGAAGCGAAATATTTTCTAAAATATGAGAATGAGAAGAAATAAAAGTTTTACCTTGAAGAAAGAGAAGAGAAGAAAGCAAAACCCTAGATCCGGTTTAGGAAGGCGAAGGTCTCTCAATGGTTGAGTTTGAGATTTCGGAATTTGGGGGTTTCCAGTTGGAGAAGCGCGTCTTCAAAACGCGCGAGGCACGGCCCGTGAAAATACCGTTAGAGGTATCTATTTCTCTGCTTAAGCAGCCGGCGCGTGGAAATACGCAAGACAGTTTGAAGTATCTATTTCCTTGTTAATTAACGTTCTTATGATAAATGTAATAAAACTAATTAAAAAACATTATAATTTTTTTACTATGATTTAATATGATTTTTTTAAATGACTTAATATGATTAATTAAATATTAATTAAAATATTAAAATTAAACAAAAGATCTGAGTCTAAAAAACAAACCCGATAAAGTTCGTGGAAAATGAATTAGTGAATATTAGTGCTAGTAAATAAAAAGAAATAATATCATTTTGGTATTCTCTATTGTATCATAACATTTAGATGATATTTATAGTTGGCATTTTTTTTATTGTGAGACCCTAAAAAAACTTCTACTAATAGTGTCATATTGGTCGTATTAAAAATTTATAGCGCGCTACACTATACTGTTCATGTTGCAAATCTGACCGTTAAAAAACTAATCTAAAAGTAAAAAGTAGGGCTCTACGGGTGAAAGTTTTTTTGGGTTTCATCGCAGAAGTTGCCTTTATCGTTTTAATATTATTAAAGAGTAATGTTACAAACACCAAATTAAATCTCAACTCTTGTATATCAACTAATATAGTATGTGAGTTGTCATTTTTATATTAATAAGTATTTAAAACATTATCACATCAATTAATAATAAAAAATTACACTACTAATAAAAGATGACAATCACATGCGACATTACTTGATACACAATAGTTGGAATTGAAATTGAAATCCCTGATATCACCATTATTAAATAGGCACTTTCAAATTTTAAATACGGAAAATCTTAAACCTTGAGGCCTTTTTTAAAACATAAAATATCCTAAATGTCTTTCTAATTAATTAATTAGAAACTAAAAATTTTAAAATTTTACAAAAATATTATAATGCTCTTCAGAATTAAACATGTTTAATTATGTAAAATTATGAGTTATTAGTGTACTTAATTTAATTTTTTTAATTAATAAAAAAATTTTAAATTATTTTCAGTATTTATAATTTCACCCTAAAAAATTTTAAAAATACACTTAAATTTTAATGTATTTCTTTTTTTTCTTTTCTTTTCTTTTCTTTTTCCATTTTTCTATTTTTTTTCCTTTCCTTCTTTTCCCTTTCTTCTTTCCTTACCGTGGCTACAGACCTTTTTCTCTCTTCCTTTCTTTCTTTCTTTCTTTTTCTTCTTCTTTCTCTGTCTCCTCTGATTCTTCCACGGCAGCCCACCTCTCTCTCTTTCTCTCCCTTTTTCTTCCATCGCCGGCCACTTCTTCTCCGGGCTCTCTCTCCCGCCGACCTTCTCTCTCTCTGACCATCTCTCTCTCTCTCTCGGCAATTTGGCCGAGACACCTAAAGAAGAAAAAACAAAAACAAGAGAAATGGAGAAAAACGAGCTCACTTTGAAGTAAAGATTTCTTAAAAATCCACACGAGCTTCAATCACTTTGAAATAAAGATTTCATGAAAACTCACACTTAAATTTGAGTTATTGATTTGAAATTTTAAAATTTTGGTTAAATTTAAATAATTTTAAATTTGAATTTGAATTTGAACAATTATTGTTTGAATTGAATTGAATATAAGGGTTTTCAATTATTAGACTTGTTGAATTGATTAGAAATTGATTGTGATGATTTCTGGATAATTTATTTTGAAATTGAACTTGAATTGCATGTTTGACATTTTTCCTATTTTTGTTAGTATGCTGCCGAAATTTTTTTAAAAACTTATTTTTAAGCTGAAATTAAATGGAAAAAAAAAACCAATAAATTAGAATCTAATTTTTAAAAAACCCCCAAACTAAATTATAAAATCATTTGTGAAACTTAAATTTGAGTCGAGGCACACTAATAGGAAATAATTAGACATAATTGAACTTGATTTGTTTATGAATGAGGATTGTGTCCTAAAACGTTGCTTTTGTGACAAAGCTAGTGAAAAATCAAAAGTAGAAGCTTCAAAGGAAAGCGGAGGCTAGGGTAACAAGAAGCTAACCCATGTTTGATATCTAAGAGGTAGGATATTCTTACCCATATATCCTTGTTAGCCTTACTTTAAAGTGTTTTAGCCTATGAAAATGTTTTTAAGACAAAACATATTTTATAAAGAAAAGTATTTTGAGGAAATAGCATGATTTATGGTATTGAATTCATAATACTGAATTAAGGTTTAACATATATTTTTTTAAAATAAGATGTTTTAAGAACCGATAAAAACGCTGATGGCCTAGATATCAGGATATGAAGATCGTATCATTGAGGGCAGGACCCGAAACCTGTATGGGCCACTACGGTGGTGTTTGGCCTTGCATTGGTCGTAAGAAATTTAATTACTTAAATTACTTGCTGATTGCCTGTAATTTGGAATTTCAATTTGTTTACCTTTCAGTAAAAAGGTTGCTTGGTTCCGACTGATTCGTTCGAGCCTGTACTTTCATTTATTTATTCAGTTTTATAAATCTTATCCTACTGGGTCTTTCACTCATTTTTTCTATGTTTCAAAATGTATTTAACCCCACCCATGCGATGCTAGAAGTAGCGCAGAATATATGAGGAATTCAGTTCTAGAAGAAAGGAAGCGGTGAAGCATTTTCCATCTTGATTAGACTCATTAAGGCATGTATTAACTATGGATTGTAAAACCCTAAACTATACTAGACTGTAGTTAATGTCAGTTATTTACTTTTTTATATTTAATTATGTATGCACAAGTGTAACCCTGTGGATGCCGGAGGTTGACTTTTGATGTTGATCTTAATAGTAATTGTGTTTTCTAAAGTCCGCCTCACTATTTCTTAAAACTCGATTTCGTTAAAATAGCGAGGCTTGTTTGGAAATACCTAAGTGTTTGGAATTTAAAATCAAATTTTGAAATGTTAATTATTTAACCACTTTCTTAATCAAATTTAATTTCTAAGCAAGTCTTCACGTCACTAACCCCTATTTAGGGGCGTGACAAACATTTTAAAAACATTTCCTCGATATTCATATTTTAAAAATATAACGTTTTTAATTTGTAATTTAAAATAGTTTTAATATTTTTAAAATATATTTTAATGGTAGGAAGGTCATTCTATATTATACGTTCTCTAAAATTTAATGGTATATGTTTAATACTATTAAAAAAATAATATACGTTTGTGATGTTTCGATGTAATAAAGGGTCTCAATTGATTATCCCTAAATAGAAAGGTTTCCTTTCAAAACGTGAAACGTGTTGCAACTAGGTCTTAACTCTTAATTAAGGAAACGAGAATGAGATAGAACAAAAAGGAGAGAAATGTGGTTATGTTGGAAGATTTAATATTAGTATCAAGTAATATCAAACAGTTGGTAGTTCTACTATAATTGTCTTCCTTCACACACACAAACAATTATCATATATATTTTCGTCTTACCAAACATAGCGGGGAAGCTGAGAAAAATGAGAGGTTGTTAATAGGAGTTTGGTCGTTTTAATTTAATGACCGAAATATGCACGAGATTATGAGTTTTTTTTATGACTATATGAGAATTGAAGGGCATTTAAAGACATATTATATTAAAGAGTTTGGAGTTTAGTTAAGCTGCCAATGTGCGATAATATCGAATGTCATCTTCATATATTATTTTTTTTCAATCAGCCTTTACGCATGTTATATTTTTTATTCTATGCTTAACTGTTACCGAAAATAATTAGAATACACTTTAAAAAAAAATAGTGACATATTATTTTAAAAAGAAAATAGTGACATATTTATTGCATTATTATTTTTTTTATTTTTATTTTTATTTTTTAAAAAGTGGAGAGGAAATATTATTAATGAGCCAAAACAACCATATATATCAGCTGCAATACAATTGTCAAAACGACTAGGAAAATTATCAATTCAAATTTCAAACACATACCCTTCTAAAAGAGAAACGTAATTGAGCCTAATGCGTGGGCAAAACTGAATTACTCTCGCGAGAAATTTGGTTACATAAAGCACTACCATTTTCTGACATTAGGACTTTTATATCCTTAATGATCGGATCTTCCGTAACAAAATATTCGGCGCGTTTAGAACTCGTTCTAAAATAATTTTATTTTTTGTATGAAAATGAAAATGCAAATGAAAATGAAAATGCAAATGAAAATGAAAACGTTTTCAATCTCAAATAGAAATCATTTTTGAAAATGCGTTTGGTAGTTTTATCAAGAGATTATTTTCAGTGTAAAAAAACCCATTAATGTCTCTCTTTCTCTCTCTGCTCGAGAGACGAAAAAATGAAAATAAAAAATAAAAAATGACTAAAAGTCATTTTTAATTTCTCTCTCATTTTACATTAAACCAAAAAATCGTTTTCATTTTCATTTTTTGTTTTTATTGCGCCAAACGCCGTTTTGAAAACGTTTTTATTTTTTCTTTCTCAAAAAACGTGAAAAATAAAAATATGATCAATTCCAAACACGACAATTAATTCTTATTTACAGCTCGAACTGCATTCACTGCATCGCTCTCGACTACGGAAACCCGAAGACCAGTATCCTTAGCGAATAAAAAGCCTTCCCGTATGGCTACACAGTTTGCTATCACAGGAGCAAAATAAAAAAAAAAATAGTGACATATTTATTGCATTATTAATATTAATTAGTTGTTGTATCACTGAATATATCATGTCACATGCTGGGGTGCATTGTATATATACTTTTGATTGTGCAAGTTGTGTCTACAATTTGATTGGTCACCCGCAAAATGAAATATTGGCCTCATATGCGCAAAAATATTTCAAATATGTGAGTTCCTCAAATTCGTTCATTATTGGTATCACCCCCAAGCATGAAGGAATGGGTTCACTAAATCACAATTAGGGACAAGCCAATGAGGTTTTTTCTAAGGAAGCATACGAATTAGACAATACAAATATCAACTCACACACATAACCTATACTGCATAGGTATAGGAAACACGATTCCGACAATTTACCGATTTTATTAGTA